TCACTTTTCATCGGCTCAGTAGCTTCAGTAATTCTTTTGACTATACATTCCGGTTGCCGGATTATGTTTAAGGGAAAAGCTTTTTTTACACTGGAAACACTGGGCTTTTAAGGCGGGAGGAAAGGCTGAAGGAATTCCTTGGTTTGGCTCAGGACTCTGACCCTGGTTTAATTTAGTAGGCATAGATAATAATTTTTTAGCAAAAAACACCTGCTAACTAATTTTTATTTGGCAAAAACTCTAAATCTCTCCTTTTTCACCATTAAATCTAGCCTGCTTACTTAACAAGCATTGCACTTATAAGTTTGCTGGTCCTTTTCCATAAAATCCCGTTGGTTTAAAAATTCGCGAATGCTATTAATAATTTGCGACCTTTGTCGTAAAATTGCTCGGTTCTGGCGGTTGACAATTAAGTCTAGGTAACGCTTGCGAAATCTTTCTTCTTCGTCCGTAAGTTTATTCGGTATGGGGTTTAAGCACTTGCTTAAAAGAGTAAAATCATTTACGTCTATGCTTAATTCTCCGCGGTTGGTTTTACAAATAATTCCTTTCACTCCAATGATATCACCAACGTCTAGCAATTCAGAAAAGTCTTTAAATTTAGCTTGATTTTCTTCATCTTCACTAACTTTCAATTTGGCTTTCGGTTCAGTAGCCCCAGTTATTCTTTTGGGAGTATTGCTGCCGACTAATGACAAATTTAACTAAAAAACTGCCTCCGCACTCAGCACATTTAACTCTTTTAGGCTCGGGAAATCCATTGTAGCCTTTTAACTTAGATTTAACTTTGGTTTTGTTTTTTATTTTCATGTTTTATCCTCCTACTCAATCCCTTTTTCCTAACACTCCATAACTTCGATAAGTAATAAAGAGCTTTTGTTTATTAGGTTCTACTAACTTGATAAAGGTGGCTCGGTCTTTTTCGTATCATTCATTTAAGCAAGAACGGCAAAAGAACTTATAACCTTTTCATTTTTTTTGAGGGTGTATTCAGTAGGCCACTTCATTAAGTTTTGCTCATTGCTTTTTAGGTGCTACTCATTGTTGGGTGAAGTTACGACAGCATTTATCGCATTTTTGGATTCTTTCCATATTATATAAAGTTATTTTTACTGCCAGGAGGAATCGAGATGGCAATTAAAATGGCTTCTAAAATCTGTGATATATCACCTAATTTTTTCCAAAATCATAA